ACTAAATTTCTGTATCATGGTATTAGTAGGTTCATTAACTTTCTTTAAATAATACCTTTTTCTTTGTTTCTTTGTTTATTCTCTTTTTTTTCTGTTCCATTGTCTTCCTTTTTGCAGTGGTTGCCACTGAACCCGAGACTCCACTCAAGTCAGGCAAGTGCTCTACCACAGAGCTGTACCCTTTTCACTAAGAACTTTGTTTTTTATGTCTGGCTTAGGTTCGCAGCAAAGTTGAAAGGAGGATCCAGAGAGCTTTGATTGATCATGTCCCTCTCACACAAAGTGTTTTGCTTCCCTCCATGGCCAGTGCCCGCCCCTAGAGGAGTACCCTTGTTACAGATGATGACTTACAGTGGTCCATCGTTACGTTATCATCTAACGTTGGCAGTTAACATTAGGGCAAACTGTTGGCGTTCTCCATCTGATGGGTCTATTCAAATGTGTAGTATGTTTACTGCTGCATTTATATTTGTTCTTGTTTTTTTCTTAATACCGCAGAATTCAGAAGTATTTAAGAAATTAAGTGTAGGAAAATTTTTATTTCAAAATACTCCATTTATTAATTTTTACTTCTGAAATCCTATACATGAAAAGAGTTTTAAATCACTATGTTTACTGTCTGTGTAATAACATATAATAAAGTTTTAATATGTTAATAAATGCATTAGACTTAGTAAATAACATATTACTACATGACCTTATCACTGAGAAGTGATTTTTGTGACTAAGAATTTTAAGTCACTTATACATTATTTTCCCACCCAAGTTTGTAACTTATGTTGTTCTCCGTATTTTCCTATTCTTTAGTTTAGGAGATGATATCTAGTCTGTGCTACTTTGATCTTGTAATTATCTCCAGGGTTATACTGACTTTCCGTATCTTCTGCAGTACTGGGTTCAGTAACTATCTTTAATGAATAGCTTTGTTTCTTCTCTTTTATTTTCTATGCGTTCTTTTTTGCAGTGATTGGTAGACCTGGGACTCCATTCATGCAAGGCAAGTGCCCCTCCACTGAACTGTACCCTTTGCACTATGAACATTTTTAAATATCAGGCTTAAATTCACAGCAAAATTGAAAGGAAGATCCAGAGATTTCCAGTAGACTGTGTGCCTCTCACACGAGTTGCCTCCCTCCATGGCCAGTGCTGTCCTCTAGAGTAGTACACTTGTTATAGATGATGACTTACACTGGTCCTTGGTTCCCATCCAAAGTCTGCATTTAACACTAAGTTTCACTGTTAGCATTCTTCGTGTGATGGTGGATTGAAATTTGTTGTGTGTTTCCTTTAGCAGTGTCATGCCTCAGACAGCTCCTTTGTGCTATTTGTTCATTGCCTCCCTGGCCCTGCACCACCCCAACAATACTGCAAGCAACTGAACTTTTCATTTTCCTGGCAGTGATCATTTTAGCAGATCTGCTCCATCATTGAAATGATACAGTGGATAATTTTTGAAGATTAAAAGCAATAATTGTTCAAGCTAACTGAATGTAGCCAATAAAGCTGTTACTTGAACTGCCTTTTTTCCTCTTATTGGGGATGTTGCTAGGGACTGAAGCCAGTGCTTTGGCCATTCCAGGTAAATGATTTACCATGGAGCTATACCTCCAGCCTTAGTTTTTGTGTTTTTGATGCTTGTATGAATATGCGCTGATGGCATGTGCTCCACATGCTGAGCTGGCCTGCTTTCTATGTGGATTCCTCATCATGAGGAGGGTTGACAAAAGTGACATCATGCTGAACTTCAGAGCACGAACTGCACCACCTTGTTCTGTTGGGTCCAGACAGAACCTTTGAGAATGGAAGCATACACTGGCGAGTGCTGTGCTTCTCAAAGTGCCTCAGGTCTTTCATTCTTACCTGGAGATGGGAAGTAAGATGAGGGAGTAATGAAAGCTATAGGTGAGTCAAAATGCTCCTCTTCCTTTAAGTGCAAGTCATGTTAAGTTAGTAAAACATGACTGATTTTATCATTATTATTATTGGTCCTCACTCCTTCAGTACTAGGGACTCAGTGGTCTTGTGCGTGCTGTGCACACATGTTTACCACTGAGTCCAACCACAGCCCTGACTTTGTATGAATTGGTTCTCTGTCACGGGAAATCTGAGGCTTTTGGTTCTTTGTGTTGTTTTGTTTTTTCCCCAAATTTACATGACGTAAAATTTTGTCTTTCACTTGTCACATTCTGAGAGGCTCAGTGAGTTAGTGGTTTCATTTGTATGTTTTCATTATTCCATGTAAGATAGTGCTCCCTCGCAGCTGGTTGCAACCTCCCCGGTGCTGGCTTTTAAGCTTTTCAGACTGGACCAGCTTGTAAAGGCTTGAGCTCTGAAGTGGTTCTTTCCATGGGAAGTAAGATAGCAGATGAACTTGAGCCCTGTTTGCATCACACATATGACAGAGAAACCAGGGAGAACTAAGGGAGCTCCTTAGCATCTTCCTTAGGAGAGGAATAGCAAGAGTAAGTGCACAGACTTCTCCTGAGCTCTTCTCCACTGAGAGCTGGAAATCATTGCAATGGTGCTTGTTTCAGGTGTGCTTCCCATATTTTGCCATGCTGCAAATTAGAATGCCCTTTACAGCTTCCTTGAGCTAAAGTATTTCCTCTTCAAACTCTACAGTTCCAACTGAATGCTACAGCAGCTGCCTTGTGTCTTAAGAAAATAAGTGTATCTTTTATGATCGTTCCTAGTGCCACTACTCTAGGAAAGTCATGCTCTTTGTTTGCCATGTCAGCTTATGCCAGCGATACTGCTAATGGTACCATTTCTGTCAATATAATACCTTTAGGTAGGATGTCATTGTGCACAGCACTATTGCTCATTTAGCTATCTAATGTAGATAAATTCTCTTCTTCCCTGCATTTCTTAAAAATAGGAAGTGATATTTCTTAATGCATTGCGTATCAATAGCATTATTAATACTGATTATAGAATGGGCTACAGATATAGCCCAAAAGACTATTTTGTGTCAAAACATCAGAGTTATACTTTTAATAGTTTATATTTTTGTTAATTCAAAATGTATTTTACCTTTTTCTTGAATAGTGTGTGATATTTCTGATGATGACTCTCTAATCAGGTAAGAATATATAGATTTTTAAATATCATACAGTGACTAATTAGTGAATGCAGAAAAGAAACCAATTGTTTTAGTGTTCTGTTCCAGGCCAGACAAAGTACTTGTGCTGTTTTAATCCAGTTTTATTAATTTGGCTGCTGTTATGAATGGGGGTTATTTAAATGGTCCATGGTCTCATAATTAAGAAGTAACTGACCCATGTGTTGACTGTTAGCCTGCCTGGCTCCCAGATGCCTTCCATTGCCCTCTGCAGTGCTGGGATCCAAATGCAGGTCATTTAAGATCAATGTAGAAAGTCACCATAAGGGACATGTCAAGTCTGCTTAGTTTTCCTGAGAAGTTGGTGAGTTTATTCTAAAGATAATGATTGAATTGATAGCCAGTTTCTTGTTTTTACCACTATAGAACTTAGGGGAGATGTGGTAGTTAAGACTATCTTTATGTAAATCATCTTATATTATTTATGTTGAGGGTTTATTGCAATGACATTTTTAATGCATGTGTCTATTCACCAATTTCCCAGTTTGGTTTTCCTTTCAGGCTATTACTACTGCCTAGTTCTATGATTTTTTTCCTCTTAAGTAAAATATTTTCTTGACTTTTTAAAAAATTTTTCTTCTACTTGGTATTTTTTTTTATTTCTGCTGCCTTAGTGTTTTTTTTTTAGTACCAGAAATCAAATCTCACGACTGCATTCTTGCAAGGCAAGTGCTTATGCTGCTTAGTATTTCTTATTGTTGTTTAGACAGAGTGAAAAACAAGTAAACTTTCAGGTTCTAAGAAATCTAAGAGACCAATAAAAATATCCTCTAGTGCTCAACCTGTTTAACATTCTAGCCACATGGTTGAATCATAGAGAATTTGACGTACAATGATATTAAAGTGACTTATCTGAATATAGTTCATGACAAAATGAGGTTGTATTCAGGTTTTACATTTGCTGTGTCTGGTACTCTTTGTCATGTCTCCTTCTGTGAGAGTTTCCATAATAGAAGAGAGGAGGAAGTCCAGCATGTCCAGTGGGAGATCATGAGAGTGGAAATCACAGGGGAAGGGCATGTTGGAAGGACAACATTGGGTGGGGCAAGACTGAGGTCTTACAAATCAGAATATTGAGGTTTGTCACAAGTCTGATAAAGATAATACAGAAAATGAAGCCCCAGAATACTGAGAATTATCCTGACAAATGTATTAAAAGTGTGGATTCAAAGGAGTTCTGAAGAGATTTTTGCGTTTTTGTTCAGTCGGAGGAACAGCGAAACTTAAAAATTGGTATTAGATTAGTTAGGGTAATCTGAGCCACCTGGAAGTCTCTAGAGCATGAAGGAATATCCCATGCCTTCCTTCCTACTCAGTTCATGGAGGGTGGCTTAGGCCTCTGACTCCACTGGGGACCAGAAGCAGCTGAACTTCATGGGCCTGTTACCCAGGACAGGTGTCCCTCATTTCCACCTCTTATGTAAGGTAGGCCTGCAAGGCAGATGTGTCCTCTTGATAGGTGGTACCTTGCTTCTGCTGAGGGCAGGTGATTGTGACACAAATACTTCTTTTCAGGAGCAGCTGCTCTTGGTTATTTGAGCACATCCTTTTTTTTCGGAATCTGTGCCTTCTTAGGCTGAAGATTTAAGTGAACACTGATGTGGAGCCCCACCATGAGAAACCCAGAAGGAAGAGCACTTACAAAACGACATTAGACTAGATTTATAATAACAGAGGAGCAGCTACCAGGGTTGATTTTCCAGCCAGCTCCTACTTGAATGTCACAGTGTCTGTGAAAGTTTCACCACTTTATGTGTAGGTGAAAAAAGCAAAGGCATACAAGAAAAACAATTGGGTTTTATCATTTTAATAGTTTAATTTCCCAGGGAAGAAATTGACCAACACACACACACACCCACACCCACCCACCCACATTTTTCTTTGATTTTTGTACTTTTAACCTTCAAATATTTTACAGTTGCAGAGGACTCTGTGTTGATTTATGCTAAATGATACTAACAGAGTTGTCTCAGTGTAAGGGGCTTCCATACAGAAAACAAAGACTGCCATTCCTGACTTACTCGGCATCTTACTGACTTTCAGTAACTTTGGCATTAATGGGACAAAATGCTCAACCCTAACAATTTAAAGGAGGAAAGATTCATTCTGACTCAGGTAAGAGGCTCCAAGGCAGAAACCACTTGGCAGGGAGACAAGGTGGAGGAAAGCTCCTTAACACACAGGCAGGGAGCAGTGAGAGGGCTGAAGAACCAGGGGTGAGAATTTACCCTTGCAGGTCAGAACCCAGTGGCCTTCCTCAGAGCAGACCTCCCACCTAAGAGCACAGTGAGCTACTGAACTTGCAGATGGATGAGGGCATGCTGAAGATAGGGTTCCCATGGTCCAAACACCTTCCACACACAGGATAATGAAAGGGGACACTAGATTAGAACCATCACATCCAGCTTAGTCATTGAACCAGAGACAGAGCAGGGAAAGGGGACGGTGTATTTTTCCACCTTGAGGTTACCAGGCTTGTTTGAGTCCAGGTAACAACTTTTGTTTGCTATTAGTGCATTTTTCACTTCAGCCTTCAGAGCAGGCAATTTGTAAAGAGAAATGATTTTTAGACTGTGCTGGTCTCTTGGCTGTCATGCTTTGGGAGTGAAAGTGAGACTATGCTGAGTGTTTCCGAGATTGGAAGAAGTGAAGACAGAAAGAAGCATCTAAAATATTTCAAAACTGGAAGTCAACTTTTAATTGTATCAACCACGAACCATCATTTGATACACAGATAGCCAAGCTTTCACCAGTTTTTAAAGAATGAAACTCACCCACTGCTATTGTGTGTTTTTGCTCCCCAGCTCTTCCAGCAAACACAGTCCTGTTAATTTGTGGCCTAAATCAGATGACACTGACTTTCTTCTGGATAACAAGGTAAGTGTCTTTCGTAATGTTAATTTTCTTCCTCTTAGTTTTGCATTGTATTGCCCTTAGTCTTCAAATTTAACAGTGGTGTAGCTACCATAAATTTATATGGAACATTGATCAGGGAAGATCACTTTGGAGAACTATGCCTAGTTAAAAAGAATTTCCACCCCTTTGGTAAATAACTGGTACATATTTTGAAGTATTTGAGACTGAAAATAATAATGGGTTAGAAAACACACAGTGACAGGAAAATTGTATCTGTCAAACCTTTGCCATGATGGCAGAAATACAAAATTTGGTCAAGGATCATTTGGATAAGTGGACCTTGCCATGGCTTGAAAATCTTACTACCAAGACCTTCATAGCACTCATACCTATATAAATCTTTTATGGATCTTATTAGTCCTACAATAATCAGGGAAGTTTGGTGCCTTCATTTGAACAACTTACCGTGTATAAAACAATTTTTCCTTTAAGTAATCTTTATTTTGCTATCATCAGTTTTTATGAGAGCTCTTCTGTTTCTGTTATTGGTTCTGTTTTTAGACTAGAATAATACCGGAAACTGTGACAACTTAGAAATTTAAAATGTGTTTCATCAGGGATGTATGACTATGGAATTACAGGATCTTCATTGTTATTGTTTTGTTTTTTTGTTTCTGGAAGGTGATCACAGGGCCTGCGCAGGAAGCTGTATCCCTTGCCCTCTTTTTTTAGTTAATTGAATTTGTTTTTGAGTCCGGTCTGGAATTTGGGATGTTTAGCCTCATCTCCAGTGCTGGATTGAATGTATACTACACCTTCCTGCACTGTGTTTTCTATGTGATTCCTCCATAAAGAGGATACCACTTTTAAAACATTTTATCTTATAGAAGACTACCTGTTTTCAAAATAATAAGCAGTGGTAGAACTAGATGGTCTACAAAGCAAGTGGTAATTGTAAGCATTATAGCTTTAAAAATATACAGTGGTAGTCTCTGTATCTGATTCTGACATTTCAAGTTTCACAAGTTTTTGTACTTCCAAAAATTCATTTAAAACTCCGCAGTACAATGAGATTCTGGAGATTAGAAAGATTTTTGTGTGAATTCTGAAGACCTGCAGTGAGGTGTTTGGTATTAAGAAGCATTTTAATACCAGTTGAATGCCAATAAATGGATTTCTACCTAGTAGAATTTTCAAGTAATGTATGCATAATTTATGTAATAAATAAGTGCATTCAGTTTGCCCTAAAATGTATACTGTGCTTAGGATATATACTTTCAGGTGACTTATGTTTAATGTTATGTCAAATAAGAAAACAAATCAGAGGAATGAAAGACACAGTACATTCTAGTATCCTTTAACTCTGAACATAGGTTAGAATGTCATCTTAAAATCTCTTAAGCTTTTCTTTTAGTCAGCTCCATGTTTATTAGGTGCATCTTTTCAAAGTGTAATTTTTCTGTAGAATCGTGATTAGCAGTTTCACTGAATGCAAAATTGTGGAAATTATTGTTTCCTTTCTCTCTACCGGAAATGCTTCAGTTCTCAGGTAGTGGTAAATAGCGCACAACCTTTCTTCCATTTGTAACTGTCATTGCATATGGCAATAAATAGAAAACTAGAAGTATTGGCATATGCCATTTATTGGGGGAAGAGGAATTTTCAAATAAGGCCTTACATTTCTCCCTCACGTTGTAGTACCATTTAAAAATACCTCTTTCTGTAAATCATCACCATTTCTCTTCTACAATTTACAATATGTTTCCCTTTATGAGAATGGACCTGGTTATATTCACCAGTTGGATTTCTGACTCCTGGCTTCAGGGACCATCCCGCCTGAGCTGCCCTATAAGCACAGACCACAGGTGCACATCAGCAGGCCTGGATTTCATTAAATCCTGGAAGATTTTTCTTTGAACAGGAATCTTTTTCAAAATCTTCAATGGGTATCTTAGTATTAAATCTTATGATTAAATTTTAAAATTCACATTTGCGTACTGTCTCAGAAGTTAGTATTTGCATATATCAGTTAAAGTTTGTTTATAGCTTCAACACAAATGTTAATGTATATAATTGAAAAGTGGCATCTCCTGTAATTCCCCCCTCATGATTTCATCTGATGAATTTCAGAACTGTGCATAGGTTAGCATTACTGCCTCAGTTTTCTGTATTCCACAAATACTTACTTACCTTTTGAGCCAATATCATTTCCTGAGTGAGGTCATCATCTCCCCTCCTCCAAATGTGTCTCCTCCATCCCAGGCCTCCAGTTAGATGTATTTCCTGCAGGCCTTGACTGTGGTCTTTCTGTGACGATATTGGATGGCACCAGATCTCTAAGCTGAGAATTCCTGGCCCCAGCTACCCTTCTGGTGACTATCAAATTTTCTTACTTCCTACATTCTGAGAACTATTTTTCATTTCTGGACTCATTTTCTCACTCATCATTTAAAAACAATATTCTTTGATGCTGTGCTTCCCATTATTCTCTGGCATCGATCTTACAATATCAGAGAATCTACAGATTTGCATTTCACAAGGGGAAGTTCCCATTCCAGCCTGAAATTAGTGTGATGCTCCTGTTCACCTGTCTGTGCCCTTCCAGGAACTGTATTCCAGCTGTGTCACATCCCTCGGGCAGCCCTCTTTTGCTGTATTGTTTCATGCCCCATCCTTTTGTTTCTGGTGTCCTTTCTTGAATGCCCTTGACACCCTTCCTTGGTGCTTTCTCACCTGTTCACAAGAAATGGCTTTTCCTGAGCTTTCCAGATAGAACTGATTGTACTTGCTTTAGAAGCCTGTCTTTGGACCCCATTTGTAGAATGAATGAAATGCATTTCACTGTTTTCATGTATCTGCGTCTGCTTCCATGCAAGCAGAATGTGCTTTCAGCTTTTTGCAGAGTAATCCGTGTGATTTGATAGATTTTTTTGGTGATTGTTTCCATTGTGTTTCCATTACACTGAGTGGGTGGCTGGGCAATTGCATGCTTTGTAATACTGTTTTTTTCTTTTCTTCAATAGAAACAAGCAGAAATGTCAAAAGTTACAGCGCGGAAAAAGGGTAAGCCTTTTGTTGTAAAAGCACTGGATGAGATATCAGTTAACAATGTGACTAATGTGGATGAGGAGAAGAAAACTCATCAAACTGGTAAATTGGTGACTGTGAAAGTTGTTTTTAATTATATGCTATTATTTTCAAATGTGTGTAGATCTAAAAAATGATATTCATTTCTTTTAAAATTTTACTTGTCTTAATTTCCTTCTAGCAACAGGTTTTGGAAACTGATTCAAACTTCTGAAATTCTTTTCACATTGACTCATATCTCATTGAAATCTTCATGAATGTAGATATATTTGTATCTATAAGCAAATTTTACAGCAGTGAATATTCTCACTAATGTGTCTCTGACTACATTTTATAGATACGGTGTTTGCACCAGGAGTACGGATAGCTTGGGATTCTGAGGTACTGCCTATCATTTGTAATTATGTTTGAAATAAGTATTGGTTGAGATTTTAATATAAATGGGACAATTTGTCTGTACTTTCTCATGTCTTCATATACCTGTAAGAAGTCATTTGCTTAGTTTTCAACCACAGTTCCTAATTTTGTGACCAGCTTAGCTGATTAATAAGAATCTGTCTCAAAAAGTTAAAAACACAGGGTTCCTAGCTCAATACAAATACCTTATGTTGAATCTCTTGTACTGCAGGTGAAGGAATAAATGGATGGAGTGCTAAGCACACCTTTGCTACCTGTGTAAAATTCATTCAAGCAAGCCAGTGCAGTCAAAAACTAGGAGCTAGATTTCATAAGCAATCGGCTTAGATTCTGGAATTAAGTTGAACAAAAACTGAAGAATTTTCCCTGCTCATCCTCTGGCCAATGGCTGAAAATTCTGCTGAGATTCAGACAAAATGTTTGGATATAATTTTTAGAGGTTTTAACTTGACAAAATAATGAGTGAGAATCACAATTGTTAATCTATTTTGGTTGCTTAGTGTCAATCTGCATGTCATAATTCAAAAGAAGAAAGGACTCAAGATATAAATACAGGGCTTTATAATCACAGATCCATTTTACATTATTTCAAAAAACAGAACTCAAAGTTGAATGTGGATGCATTGAGTGTCTCTATGGCAGTCATGCTTGTAGTGATAAAGATGTAAATATTGACAAATTGTTTTAGAGTGAGCACTTAGGAAAAGGCCTAATGTGTTCGGTCCAAGCAGCTCCTACATTGTGGTACCAGGGTAGTGGTGGAAGCACAAAACCAGTTAGTATTCTGGTTTTGTCAGTTAGTGACTGCTGGTTTTGGAAAAATCATTTAATGTATTTGGATTTTGTGACTTATTATACCATGAAGATAACACATGATCTGCTTTTTAGCTATATATATGGACAAATGTGACAAAAATTGTAAAATACTTTGAAAATTATACAAAGTTCTAGTTGGCTTGCAGTACCTGAATAAATATTGAAGATGTTTTCCTAAACCTGAGAACAACAAAACAATAGTGTGATGAAGACAATAAGAAAGTTGAGAGGGGCATATAGATTGCTACTTTGTAAATGGTAACACTTTTGGTAAACTGTTGATGGAGTCAGCATATAGGAAGAGAGTAGCTTGGTGCTTGAGGTTTCCCTGAGGAGGCTTGAAATGTGAACTTGAATAAATCTCTATTATTCTGTACCCACTGTGCACTAGGTAGTGGGACACTGAATACATCAGATGAGGACTTGTGCTATCATGATAGAGTATTCAGACAAACAAGAGCACTGTTTGTTTCATTACTTTGAATCCATCCTGTGGCCTTCACCTGGCACTAGCTCGCCAGGCCTTTTAATACTTGAGATAAGGGTCTTTCTAAGTCACCACATTCTCCAGACTGGGCTTGAACTAGTGCTTCTGATGTCTCAAACCTCCAGAAGTTTGGAATTACAGGGTGCACTGCCAGGCCTGCATAGGTTAGAGAATTCCAAGGGAGTTTGAGGTAAGGATGGGAATGAGCGTGAAGTGCTGCTAATTTAAGAGTGAGAAACAGCCAGCCCAGTAAAGTCTCGAGGACACTGTGGGCAGAGAGCAGGGAGCCATGAGCCATGTCTGGCTATCATTGTAGCACCCTACAGTGACCTGAAAGCAAGAAGTGCATCAACTTTCATCACAGTTATTTACAGTTTTGCAACAGACAGATAAGAAAACGTGCAAATCAGCATGAGCAAGTTTTGGGCACTTAATAAATTAAAAAAGGTTTTATGCTGCAGCTCTTTTTATACTTTTAAAAAGTTCTCCCTTAATTGGGAAATAGTTGTATATAGTGTCCAATATTTGTGTGCTCTTACTTGAATATTACATGAAGTTATTAGTATATTTTAAGTTTCAAACATCTTTTCAAGCAGTAAAAGTTTTACTCATAATTGTTTTTCTTCTAAGCCCTTGTTTACACAAGTGGAGCAGTGCCTGCGATGTTCTTTGTACTCAGCGTGGCTCTCTGAAGCTTCTTAGCTGGCCAATTATTTTAACAGTGACGTGGCTTTTGTGATTAGAAATGCTTAGTGGTGAATGGTAACAAGTATATTTATAAGAATTTGTTTATTCAGGGAAGGGAAAGTGATGTTAGGGTGTAAAGGGAACCAAGGCAATGAAGAAATGATAACGAATGTAGCAGTTCCCCAAAACAAATGTAATTGTTGTATATCACAAACGTACTCTCATAAAAACTTCTTCATTTAAATCTGTGTGTTTCAATGTTCCATTCGTTGGAGAGTGCAGAGTACTTTGTCTCCTCCGATGTTAGGATGAAATATGTTTATCAGCTAGAATTTTGTCTCTGAATCCCTCCTGTGGCTTTCCATGCCTGCTTTACAAAGTCAGCACCCATGTGGAGACCGAAGCTGGGCTTCTCATAAGGCTCTCATTGGAGACATTTTGGTCCTCAGTACGTGATTCCCATTATTAAACCTGCCTGCCTTAAGATGGTAAAACTCAGATAACTTCTTGGGAAATGAGTAGGTAATGATTGTGCAACTCATTACTGCTATACGAATTTTCTCAGAGTATCTCTGTGAATTTTCCACAGAAGCCTGTCGATCCTTTTTCTGGGAAAGCAGATGATGGAGGAAAACAGGCAGGAAATAGAAAAACAAAAGGTAAGAAATATGTATAAATGTGTGATATTTTAAGAAAGTCATTTGACAGCATGTTTATTTCACAGTGGAGCATGGCTGAGTTCTGAATCCCCCAAAACTACTTATTAATGACAAAGTAAGAAAAAAGAGAAGTAACACAGCAATAAGTTTCATGTACCCTGACGTATCAGCCACAGGCAAATTTGAGAGTCACTGAAGGAGCTACCTTCTTAGCTCCATTTCAAGGCATTCTAATGCCTGAGGGATGTTAGAAAATTAAGAGGAGAGGAGGGAGTGAGGGAAAAGAGAGAGCCACAATACAGGGAGTAGGCAAAGGTAAGAGAAAGTATGGGTGTGGGAAAATGAAGTAATCATTTAGAAAAAGGAAGAGCAATTAGAAAGCATTGTAGGAATTATATCAATTGAGCACCGAGTAGCAAAACTTGCAGAGAGGTTGAGCAGAAGTTTTCCTCTTTTCCCGTCTTCTCACGATTGGAAAGGTATTGAGGATTGAAGTAGTGAATTACACAGAGCTCTACTTCATTTACTACAGATCAAAGTAAACGAGCGTTGTTCGCTGTACGTGTAGTTTCACTGGTACCTTGGTTCATGCTCTTACTTCTTCCCGCAATGCTGGTTGCAGAGTTCCATTTAAAAGTTTACCACTTAAAAACGTTGCTATCTCAGCAAGTAGTACATCCAGAATGCGACAGTCAAAAACTAGAAAGAAAGGAATGATTAGTCATTGAGTTCAGGAAAGCCATAGTCTCAGTTAAAAGTCCATTAGAACGGGGATGACCTGTTATGCATTTTCAATTTAGTTGACAGGATAAGGAGGAAGTTGGTGCTAGATTCCAAAAATGGAAGGAAGGGAAGGGAAGTGGATTTGGAAGCGATTAGGTTTGTGGCCTGGAGCTTTAGTTATGAAATGAAGCCCCTGTGGGGGAACGTGTTACACCACACATCTGAGTCAGCAGGACTAAGGTGGTGTGTTTCTAAGAAGGTCTCCAGGGATGCTCATGTCACTCATCCTCAGACCACTGAAGATGGGCCAGTATCAAGTTCCCTGTAGAGAAATCTGGACGAGAGTCATTGGATAAGAACTAGTTCAAGACATAACAAGGTCAAGAGAGAACCATTTCGTGCCTGTTTTCCTGTTTGTATTTCTGAAAATAGTTCTAGTCACAGGGGAGAGAGTAAAGCAATGAACAGAGAAGAAATAGAAGTTGTAATTCTAAGATATTACTGCCGTTTCTGCCAACTAAAGAAAGTAGTGGTAGGAATAATCCACAAAAAGCCGTAAATGGAAACACTCAACACCATAGAACTAGGTCAGTTTGGAAGGGAACAGGGACTTATTAGGGGAGGAGGATAGGGAAGAACAAAGCTAGACAGTAACTTTGGAATGAATGATGCAAACTGAGAGGACTCCCTCCCCACAGCTTTCGTGTATGTGTTTGCAAGTGACAGAGTAGACTGTGGCTGTTCAGGGATGATTCAGAGCAGGGAGGAGTGCTAGCCTTGGCTTACACTGCAGGTACTTCCCTCCTTTCCCGCCTAGTCATCAGGCATCAGAGATTTCTGTGAAATTGATCATTGTTCACGTGAGATTAGCTTGCACATAGAAGCACTGACTCCTTTTAAGATAAGTAAGTTTTGATCAAAAAGCTTTTCCACACAAATCCTTTAAAAATGAACCGAGAGACATTGTTCAGTTCATTCCTTGAAGGCCAAAATTGTTACCTGTTAGTAAATATTGTGCTGATTTTAAATGTAAAAGTTTCCTAGTATCTAACAATTCCCTGACTATTCAGCTTTTTGCATTTTGATAACTATTTCAATGTTGAAAACTGATGTAGCATTATGTCTCAGATATGGTTTATGTTCCATTCATGAGGGATTCAACAAATTTCAAGATGTGGCCAAACTAGTTTTGAGGATACAAGAAATGTAGGCATAGCCATGGCCCACAAGGACATAGAAAACATGACTGGGTTTATTAATTATTATGCTGAACATGTATGGCTAACTGTTTTGTGAGAACACAACGTTTAAATTCCTCTTGATGATGACCAAACTTATGTACCAGTTGCAGTGCAGGAGAAATGCAAAACCACAGATACTTGGAGTGCAATGGTGTACAAATGGGTGATGTACTATGTTCGATTTATATGCTATTCCCCTCTCCTGTCAGCTCTGACACTCAGCCTCTCAGGGTCATGACTTGCTAAGATTACTTTTTCTCAGCAGTCAGCATGTAAAGCTCACTTCCTGTTTTAGTTATGGTCCTTGCAAGTATAATGTCACATTGGAAATCATGGTTGATGTATATTCTAGTTTTTCTGTCATATTGTTCTAACCAATGGGGAACGTTGTGTGTGTTTATAGTAAAACAGAAAATTTAACTTTATTGCATCAAATTCATTGTATTGGTACATTTTAGATACCCATAAGGATCCCCTTCATTAGAGGGAGATTCTGCCTCTATATGATACTTCTTGATTCTTTTTTCTCCAATCTCTTCTCCCTTAAAGGTCTCCCCTTAACCTATTTATTTACAAAAGCTTTTTTTCTATTTTGTTCTCTCTGTTCTTTTTTTCTTTTCCTTTACTTCTTCTCCCTCTTACCCTCCCACCCTGTTCCCATTCCTATTGGAATATTTTCCAGTGTCTTTGTACAGTTTTGTTCTCATTTACACTTTTCAGTTTCTCTCACTAGAAAAACAGTACGATGTTGAAATGTGTGTGTTAGATTCATTTTATTTAAGAAATGGAGTCTTTCCCCCCTTTCTTTCCATTGGCTTTGCCCCTTCTTTAGTTCCCCTCTCCTTTAAACAATTTTGCCCTGCTTCACAATACCTTTTTCACTATTTGCTCTTTATTTACACATTTGATATCTAATAACAATGAAATAAAATTCACAGTCCTAAAGACTTAACAATCGATAGTCCTGGAAATTAAAGGTTAATCGGGATAATACTATTAAGTTAAAACAGAAGAATGAGAGATGATGGTGTGAATGAAAGTCAGCTGAGTGAGTGGCCAGCACAGATGCTATGGAGCACAGTAAGGCTGAGGCATTATTGTACTGTGGGGCAGAGAAACACAGGAGACTGCTTCTGAGGAATGGATTTGTACAATCGATATCTGCGTAGTATCGTTGTATCCTAATAAATCAAACTTTATATTTAGATTTTTTGCATCAGACTAATAAGACTTTTGAGAGATCATAGAATTTGAAGTCTGTTGATATATGTCCCCTTGCAACACCCTCAGTGATGCAGATTCTATCCCTCTTCCTGGAATCTAGTGAGTCAACCACAATGGGTAAATACTGATGAATATTGGAGCTGTGTTTCTGTTGGGCAGTCGTACTCACCTTGTTGCATGATTCATGCCAACCAGAAAACAGCATAAGGGAAGTAATAAAGTAGCACAGTTAATTCAACTTGTAGCACCTGTGCGTGGTTTTCTACTATAGTAATTATGCTTTTTCAGAAATCTTTTGGTGGTAGAATCTGCTCTGTGTTGTACACCTCCAATGCAGCTGCCAACCAAACAGTGTCTATCCACAAGGCAGTCATGGTCTTTGTCTTACCAAAGCATGGTAAAAATTATGAAGAAGATCAGAAGGAAGACTAATTTTATTTAGGCGAGTGTTTAGCATACATTTGAGAGAGAGTGTCAATAGACTTAGAGCTTCTGGGTGGAAAGAAAGACTAGGGAGAGATCTACAGATTGCTACTCAGATGCAACTTCTTTCTTTTAGCGCTAATTGCTCTGAATTCACAAGAATTATGTGTTTGTCACTATGTGCAGGACATATCACCAAAGATGCTTCCAAAACCACATATTAATGATTTCTTACAATTTCTTTCAGTTTGTATGGATTGATTCTCACTGGATCAGTGGAAATCACTGAGAATTTACTGGGCAGCTTCTCCTTAGACATGTCCCCAACTTTCACACAAAATGGTTGCGTACAGAGTACTGATATTTAAAAGAAATATATGAAAATGTTGCCAGGTGTTGTGCATATCCTTTGAGTTCAAGCTATTTGAAAACTTGAGGCAGAGGGATCGTTCATGTCCAGAAATTGAAGGGCACCATGGATAGCAGAGCACAATCTCACCTTTTAAAATAACAATATTAGGAACACACCATTTGTGCACTCTGCCATGGTGGACATCTCGAGAGCACCTACATGTATGCAACGGTGTACCGATGGATGATGTGCTTTGTTCAGTTTATATGCTGTTCCCTTCTCCTGTCAGCTTTGATAGTCAGCCCCTCAGGATCATGACATCCCAAGATCACTGTTTTGCAGCAGTTCACATGTACAGATTGGAATATGCTCACTTCCTATTTTAGTTATGATCTTTGGCAGTATGGTGGCACATTGGAAATCATGTTTGACCTGTATTCTAATTTTTCTGTCATATTGTTCTCACCAGTCGGAAAGGAGCTGAAACCTGAGGTAATCATTTCCCAAGCATAGCATGAAGATTCGGCTGTGTCCTAAGTCTTCATGAATGTATGCTTGGTTTTCTCATATTGCTGTCTAAAGTTTATTTTCCCTTTTTCCTCTTTAGAATCACCTGACACACATCTTCCCTTGAAGGTAAGGACTGTATATTTGTATTTTGAAAGAACTGCCTATTTTAGGAGGTATGCAGTGTGTAGTAATCACTTTACTTTAAATCCCATTCAGCCTGCTGTGGAAACAAAAGATTCTGATGGGAAGAAAGCAGTAAGAGTGAAGGATGCACTGCCACCTCAACCAGGTACATGTCACAATACAGATTCCTCTGTAATGAAGTACAGTAGCCTAAATTGTTTGATATGCCTGCAGTCATCTCCATTTTGTCTCCAAATGTTGGCAAGGCTTTGCCATAAATACTGCCGGTGTAATTATTGGTGTGCATATTTGCAAATAAGGTGCTAATAAGCTCAAGAGAAAATAATATTTAATGAATTGTTTACGTATGTTTTAATATCCAATGTTTTCAGCTTGGATCCTTATACTTCACAGGGATCCACAAAACTTACTATAAAATTCCACGATCTTTTCAAAGTGTGTGGGTGCTTCCCAGAGAGCTGGCTCCTCTGGGCATCCCAGAATCCCGGTTACTCAGGAGATAGTGGCAAGTGGCTCACTGATACCCATGATTTAGTTCACTACCGCTAGCAAATATGCTTACAGTGATTCTGGTGTTTGTCTAGAGTAAAGCTCTCCTTAGTAATATGCCCACTGTGTGTCCACTTTATTTCATCTCAGCCTTGGTATATTCATGATTGCAAGCAGATAGATTTTCTCGAAAGCAGACTGTGTGAGTGTGTATATATGGTGTCTCATACGTTTGATTATTAAGTGTGCAGACGTAATCATTCTTAGTGACTGTTCGATACAATTCTTCACAACAAAGATTCTCAAACTTTAGCTGGAATTCCTTTTAGAGTCGTAAAAGATCTTACATAATCTACAGAGGTTTCTTATTAAAGTATGTTGAATCTATTGACACTCTAGTAGAGACTAAATCTGAAAGATGGAGAATAGTGGGGTGGGAGATTTAACTCAGCAACAGAAGTGTCGGCCTGGCTAATGCAGCTCATGAGTTTGATCCCCAGTACTAAAACAAAGAAACAAACAACAAGAACAAAAATCTGTAAGATACCAGCATGCAGTCACATATGCCAATATCCATTAGAGCTGTGATTCGTGAATCATTGGAACTATGACAGATGAGACATTACATTTCTGAAAACTCCAGTCTGCTAGGCCCCATCAAGATAGGGAATGAGTGTGGAATTGCACTTAACCTTTGGAATTATTTGTCCTCTTAGAACCTTGAGCTTCAGGGATTCTAATTCACTGTTAAACCACCATTTCAACAAGTATTGTCCATGAACGCCAAATGACAAAGAGCTTCTTCACAGCGAACTGCCATTTAAACTCTCTATCTCCTGTTTTCTTTCAGTTGTCTTTAATTTTATAAGTCTGACAATTTTGTTTATAAAGAAAAATGGCATTGTGTCATTGTGCTTTCCTTTCTTGTCTCCAGCCATTCGCTGGGACTAATGTGTGTCTTGGTTGGAGACAGTGAGCCTTGTAGGGCTTTCAGTGATAGCAAAGAGCCCACTGTGGAGCATGTGCCAAAGGTTCACTACGAGTGACCTGGACTAAACTAGTTCGTACATGGGCACAATAAGGTCCCGGAGAGCCGGCACTTTTCTTATGAATTTGTGATGTTATCAAAATTTATAAAGTGAATTCTATCTAACAGCAATGGCACATGGAAGTATGTATGTCATTGTAGTTTTCAGAATTTAAAGTAATATATTGATTAACATCCATGTCTTTGAGTCTTGGAAACAATATTGTGTGTGTTTATAGTACAATAGACAATTTTCATTTTTGTTTTTCCATTTGATTATACTGGTGCATTTTAGATATCCATAAGGATAACATTCATTAGAGTAAGCTTCTACTGTATAAGATATTTCTTGACTTCCGGGAGAACATGGTGGACAGATAACAGCAACTACCGGAGGCTCTCTCGAAAACTAGGCTCAGAAGCCAGGTATGGTGCGGACTAAAGAGACATAAGCAGGTGGAGTTATGCTCTGCTGACTCAGGAACGAACTCGGCTGAGAGAAACCAACTTGGAATGCAGTCCTGGTGCTAAAACAGGAACAGAGAAGTCTCGCTGCTGAGGCTGGACCCTGCGCCATTGGAAGCCACGATTTGGGTTTCCCACTGTGCGGCGGCTGGCTGCCTCTACATTGGCTCGGCAAGGAGAGAGACGCACGGAAACTCTGAGAACCGGAGTCTGCGAACAGAGTCGAAAACAGGACGGGCAGGGAGGCATGTTCTGACTTGTGGCGAGGTGAGTGACAGAAACTGACACCCCATCACAGTTTGACTCCAGCAGACTTTCTGGGCCCGAGCAGTCCTGCGGGAGCAGGGCGCGGTGGCGACTCCAGCCACACATTCCCCTCTCGGGTGGGATTGGTGAAAAGTGCCTGGCCTGCGTGATGCTTCCGGCGGACCCCGTAGGCTGGCCTAACCCAGATCCCAGAGCCTGACGGAGGCCGGGAGGGGCGGGCCCCCGCGTAGGCTGCCTGGTGCGCAGCAGTGAGTGGGAACACCTAACCGACGCAATTCGATCAGGCTGTGGCTGACAGGGACAGAAGCTGGGCCTCTCATATAAGCTTGCATATATAAGGAACAGAGAATATGGGAAGAGGCAGCAACAAGAAAGGCTCCTCGGCCCCCAATTCTGAGAAACAGGCAATAGCGGACACCGCACCAATACACATAAAGCACCATATAGAGAGCCTCATAGACCAATTCAGGAATGAAGTTATCAACGACCTGAAGCTAGAAGTATGCAAAATAGTCAGAGAAATGCTAAGCCCCACCCAAGAAAAAACAGATGGTGGAATGGAAGAACAGAAAAAGAGGGGAGAATTGTTAGATGGAGAAAACAGGGAAAGCATAGAATACGTGAAGCAGGTTCAAAGGGACTACCAAGAAACTAAGAAGTCTATCGAAGACTGGCATAACAGCTTGAAAGAAACTAAGGACAGACTATCTGAACTGTAGGGCAGAATTGTAATATGGGAGAATGAAATGAAAAACTTCTTAAAAATAACAAAGAAACAAACAGCAATAATACAAAGACTAGAAGATGATAAGAGGATCCATAACTTAAGGATTAAGGACATAAAAGAAGAAGTAGGGACACAAACAAGTGAACTACAAAAGCTACTCACAGAAATAATCCAGGAGAATTTTCCTAATTTAGCAAAAGGTAAAGATACTCAGATGTATGAGGCATACAGGACCCCAGCTACCTACAACCCAAACAGAGCAACACCGAGGCATATAATAATAAAAATTCCAGAAATTCAATACAAGAACAGAATATTAAAAGCTGTCAGAGACAAGAAACAGACCACTTACAAGGGAGCACCCATCAGAATTACAGCAGATTTCTCTGCACAAACCATCAAATCACGAAGAGCGTGAGGGGAAATAATTCAAGCTTTGAAAGATAATAATCTCCAGTCAAGATTGAGATATCCTGCACAACTGTCCCTGGAAATTGATGGAAAAACAAGGTGCTTCCAGGATAAAGAGGAACTGGGGGAATTTGCAACCACCAATTCAACTCTACAGAGAGTATTGCAGGATATTCTAAAAAAAGAAAAATACAAAGAATCCAGAAATAGTGGCGGGGAGGCCACAACTAATGGAGCAGAGAACAAAGTGAAGAAGACAAACTGACAGCTACTGACAGAATAAGAGCTCAACAGAAATGAGGCAGAGAAGATTGGATGATAGGAACAGCTATTTTGGAGAAAATGACATCTTAATAGGTAATACTGATTTAGTATCATCTTGTTTTGAAGTCTCATGTAGCTTTTGTCCTTCTGTCTCCAATGGTCTAAATAGGTTGTATCTTACTGGATTTTATTATGTACGATAGTATAAGCAAAAACCTTTTAAAGACAAGGAGATTATACAGAAACCATTATTCATTTTCTGTTAGTCAATTCTAAATACTCTGTAATGCTGTCATTCTCTTAAATGGTTTTACATTGTTTTGATATACTTAATGCTACAGTATACGAAGTTGTACTCAAGGATTTCAAGGAAAGAGACAATATGGTAACTACTTTTAGGTCAGGATTATCTGGTGGTGAAACACTATTCTGCTTAAATGGTTATGTTTTGATCTGTGCTGTTTCGTTGTTATGCCCTCTTTTATCTCAATCTCCACTCCATTATTTACTTTTTTAATACTTTTTTATTTTTATCCTTTTAATTAAAGGAAAAAAATAGCAGGATATATTATAGTAACCCACTTTGACTTTCCATTACCTTGATTTAAAGCCCTGTATTACTCTCACCATCTGGTTTTTAACTGATGTTCCCCTATTCTGTTTTGCTGGATAGTATCAGGTTCGAAAATTTAGGCATCAGCTGTGAAGATAATGAGATTCATTATAACGCTTATTCTCGTTGACTTTTATCTACTTTTGAAGACCTACAATGTCTCCAATGGTTTGGTTTTGTCGGTTTTGTTCTTTACTGTTTTGTTCAATTGTATTATAACTAATGGTACAGGCAATTCTATTAGAGATAGCGGGAGGCATTATGGTAACCATTGTTGATCACCTTGTATTATGTTTTCACATTATCTATTATGTCCACCCTTTTGACTTGACTGATTCTGTTCTGTTATGTCACATTTGGTTTTACTCTCTTCCAAAAAAGTAATAAGAACCGTGGGAGCAATGAAACCCAAAATGTGTAATAGTCATTGTACAAAAGAGAGGAAAAGAAAGTGATCTAAACTATATAACTGCATGTATATTTAAGTGTATAAGATAGAATATGATATCACAGAGTTTTATCGGATCATTGAACAGAACTGTTTGCAGTATCATTGATGGAATGTCCACTTTACAAGCTTTAATTTTGTGACTTGAACAATTATTTCTAAGATGACAATATGTAATCCATTAACTAGTGATTTCCTACTGTTCATTTTTTTTCTGCAAATCTGTATAACTTGTACCCTTTCTCTGCTTTTTTTTTCTTTTCTCCTTAAATAAAATTTTAAAAAAAGATATTTCTTGATTGCTTTATCCCCAGTCCCTCCCTCTCCCTTCAAGTGATCACCTTAACCTGCTTATTTACAAAAGCCTTGTCTCTATTTTCTCCTGTCTGTTTTTTTGGGGGAGTGCGGGCACCAGGGATTGAACTCAGGGTCTTGCATTTGCAGAGCAGGCACTTTTGCTGTTGAGCTAAATCCCCAGCACTGTCTGTTCTTTTCCTTTTACTTCTTTATTTCCTCTCCCTCTCACGCAGCACCCTGTTCCCCTTCCTATTTGAATATTTTCCAGTATCCTTGCACAGTTTAGTGCTGATTTACAATTTTGAGTTTCTCCCTCTGAAAAAACAATATGATATTGATATGTGTATGTCTGATTCATTTCTTTTAAGAAATGGATCCTTTTTCTCTTTCTTTCCATTGGCCCGCCCCTTCCCTAGTTCCACTGTCCTCGAAACAGTTTCTCCCTAATTCACACTCTGTTTTATGCAATTTGCTCATTATTTACACATTTGACATCTCATAGCAGTGAAATGAAATTTGTTTCCCTAAAGAATTAAATCAACTGTCCTAGAAATTAATGTATGTAAAAGAGATTGCTGGGTAAATCATAATACTTCAAGTAAGTGAAAACAGAAGAATGAGAAATGGTGGTGATAATGAAACTCTGCTGAGTGAGTGGCAAGCACAGAAGCTGTGTAGCACAGTAAGCCTGAGGCATTATTGTACTGTGGAGCAGAGAAACACAGGAGACTGCTTCTGAGGAATGGGTTTGTACATTAGTTATGGCTGTAGTACTATTACATTCCAAAATATCAAACTTTCTATTTTGATTCAGATTGGTGTTTGGCCTCATGTTATAAGACTGCTGAGAAATCAGAGAATTTGAAATCTGATGATAAACAACCACTTGCAACATTACCAGAATCTGGTGAGTCCACATTAATGGGGATAGTTAGGCTTTTTGCTCAGCACCTGTGCACGATAGGCTGCTTGCTCCAGAGCTGTGGAGATGTGCATGTACAGAGGCCATTAGAGCCTAGGGGTTGAATGAGGGGTTGCTTGGCTTTCACTGAAAGGCAGTGAGAGGTCCAGGGTCCCTGAGGTGCTTGCACTCTCTATAGACTGTGTCCAGAAGAACTTGTCCAGTGGGGACCCGGGACCATCGAGGCCTGTGGGCCTTCTGAAAAACTGCAAGGTTGCATTGCAAAGCATCTTTGGTGAGCCAATGCCCAAGATTCACAAGGCTGCCCGTAAGGGCAACAAGGACCGGGTGCAGTTTCTCATCACAGCAGGCCATGTCCATGACAGAGACAGGGAGCACAGGTAATGGGGCTGCATGACCAGGGGCGGTGAGTGGGGCTGGGATGATGCAGGAGAGTGAGGGTCTCAGGCTCAGGAGGGAGGAGTGGGTGAGGAGGGTGCAGGGGGATTCCCAACACCCAGGGAAGCAAAGCTGGCCAGAGGGTCGATCCTCAGGCAGTGCTCATAAGCTGCAACATAAAAACAAACCTCCCACTGGTTTATAATGGACTTGTATTTCCTGTTGTAGGCCACTTCACTGACTACTGAAAAGCTATTTAACATTGGTATGATGTGTGTGTAGTGTTTTGTTCTTAGTATCACATTAAGAGAATTGTACATATTATAAAAAAGGGAACTGTGGCATGTTTCTTGTAATCTACAAATTTAGGGCCGAAACTTAAGCTTCTAAAAACCTAGTGTCCATTTACTATCAGTGTCCATCTGTGCATGTATGTTCTGTACTAAGGACCTTTATAAGGAAACTGAATTGGGAAGGCTGCTCTATGTTCTTGGCTAGAAAGTTCCATTAGTCCCCAAATGTGAGCTTTTTGTGTATCTGCTTATGCAACGAAAAAAATGTGCAACAGTTGAGTTTCCCTTTGTTGTTTTGACATTGGGGTCACTAAGAAAATATAGTGAAGACCCACCTTCGTAGATATCAAGGTAAGTTATTTTCACAAATTAATTATTTTCTAACAGCCCAAAAGATAGACAAATGAATGTAACTTAATAGAAAATCTGGAAACATTCAAATATCTGTCAGAATTTAGAAGTTGATCCTCACATATTTTAGTTGAAAAACTGGAATGATACATGAATGAAATGTAAACCATTTCAAAAAATGTAGATTTTATGTCACAAAAGTTTCCAGTGGCATAGAAATAAAAATTTTAGATCATACAAAATGAGAAAATTAGCAAAAGCAAACACATTTGCATATTCCTAGAAGTGACCGTCACAATGAGCATTCGTTTTTTTGTGTTGGGGGTTGCTGCTAGGTCCTGGTGCATGTGAAACACACTACCACTCAGCCATCCCCTTCCTGACCTGCATTATGAAGATTAACTCTCAAAAGAAAAATTAAATGTTCCTTTATATTAGGAAAACATTGACCAAATGAAATACAACATATTTGTAAGACATTTACAACAATGGCCTGGGATATAGGTCAGTGGCACTGTGCCTGTCTGAAAAGTGTGAGGTCCTGAGTCAGATTTCCAGTACCAAAAACTAAACTAAACTAAAATAAAATAGAGACAGATATATCATAAACCATATATCAGATGAAATATACATCATAGATACATCAGATGAAAACTGTATCTTTATCTTACAAGGTGATTGTTTGAAAATCATCAAAAAATTGAATACTAATTTACTTTAAAGTTAGATAGCACACACTGTGAGCATCAAATCCTACTGTACCACTGAGCTATATCAAACTCTAAATTAGGTGGTTGGTTTGACAAATGACCTGTAAACATAAAAAGAAATGTTTAGTGTTCCTGATAAGGAGAATTTAATTTTACAATGGAGTGAAATATTTTTCAGCTACAGAGTTTGTGAGGATGAAGAGCAGTTTATCCTGCTGCTTAAAATTGGAGATGGCTTATGACTTTTTCAAATAGGAAATTTGATTCAAGTACTGTACCACAGTTTAGGAAAGCGTATGTCCACTCATCAGTTCCTTTCTAGAATACCTTCAGAACATACAGACACATTAAATGTGCTTTTCTTCATTGTTGCTTAACATAGTGATGGATCCACAGAAAGATTGTATCAGTTGCAGTGCATTGCAGGATGGAGTGATATATAATCACTGAAATTGGCATCACATGAATGTATTTTTAACAGGGAAAGATGCACTTTGATATATCCACTGAGACGAGAGTCAGTTTACTTTTGCCTACACACAAATAGGCTGCAGTCTTGTGTTAGTCAGAAAATGTATACAAATTGTGGCAAAATTTGTTATTTTTAGGCATTTGAACGAGAGGTGAAATTTTCTGTTCTTTTTTATTATCTAGAAAGTCATTCTATTCATAATATTTAAGAGTTTCTCATTAATTTTTTCACTCTAACAGAGTTTCATTGGCACCAGAAACAATGTTGAATATTCTGTATTTTTACATTTTTGTGCCTTTCATTTTGTACTATCTCATGATTAGTAATGACAATAATGCTTCTGTGTGCCCTTCTTTCCTTTCTCTTATCCTTGATTTCTACAATAAATAAATATAAAATTCTAGTGAAAGTTGTCTATTAATAAAATAATTCTTGGGAAAAACACAAACATTAGTTAAGCACAGATAGTTTTCATTTTTTCTGTGTGTGTATTGGTATTTCTGACAACTTTTTGCTTCTTCAAAAATAAAGATATAAAGAAATTATCTGTACTTAGAGATTTTACTATGAATCATGTGATGATGCCATATGAAGAAAACTTTTTAAAGCCACTGCAGGATACTGAAGCCTTTTGCCCAGGAAGCAGCTTCATTACTGCTCAGACTAACTCAGCAGATTCATGCCTAGTATCGCATGTTAGCCCCTTTTTATTCAATTTTTGTGTTTTCATCACCCTTATATGGGCACATGCAAGGATTTTCCAGTCTGGTCGGTATACCTTAACATTTTACAGGCTGGTTTTTGTTACAGTCACATCAGTAGCATACACAGTGTTTGATCCTACGCAGTAAAAAGCCCCCATACTCCAAAGGTCAGGAGGGGACCTTCCACACTACCAGGTATAGTTACACAAGAGCTTTTGTCTTCTGAGCTTTGTGTGCCTTTCCAATGACAGAGGTGTTAAAATATGAGAAAAAGTGTCTGGAGGCTTATTGAAATAATCCTAACCCCACAAAGAATGTCCATTTTAATTATTTTATTTTACTTAATTGAAATATTGTCTTTGTTAAGTAGTAATAGTAGACATTATGGTATCTGACAATTATTGAGCTGTTATTTGTTCTACAAGTTGTTCTAAATATTTTGTGTGGATTCTTATTTAACCATCTCAGTGGTGTCTTCTGAGAGAACTGAGAACTTCAGTTCTCATTTAGTAGGTGAGAATCCTGAGGCACAGAAGGGCCAAAGGATGGCTAGAAAGTAAGAACTTAGGGTAGAAATTAAATTCCAATTGAGCTAAATCTGAGGCCTGTTCTTACTAATTCCAGTGGGTTGCACTAGGCTGGGAGGTAGCGCAGTGCAGGGACCTTGTTTAGTATGTGCAAGACAGCAGCTTCCATCCCCCACACTATGTACACAAAGCGTCACCCACTTGCACTTCCATTCACAGGTGAGCAGTAAGAGCTGTGAAGCATTCTATGTTTTCAAAGACAATTAAATACTTCTTGTTAAAGATATTTAATTTTCATAATAATTCCATAAATAATTTTGCATTTTGAAATGGAGCGCTGTAATTTCCTAATAATCTTTCTGACTGTCCCAGGACTGCTCTGCATTATGCCAGTGCCTATGGCCATCCAGAAGTGGTGAGACTCCTGATACAGAAAAAGTTTGACCTTAATGCCTTGGACAGTGACCATGACACCGCTCTGATTAAGGTAAATAGCAGCCAACAATTTCAGCATGGGAGGGATTGTATTTAAATGCTGAAAATCAAAGTCAGTTGATGTAATTTGAATATAACTCCTTGGCCAGGCATGTGGAAAGTGTGTTTGGAGTTTCTTGAGCTGATGGTGTCTCCTTTATTACAATACCCACAGGCTGTAAAATGCTACGAGGAAGGCTGTGCTAGTATTCTCTTGGAGCATGGTGCAAATCTAAATATTGCCAATGCCAAGGGTGACACTGCTCTGCATCTTTCGGTTTTTCATCCAAAGTCTTCACTAACAGCAAAACTGCTTTCACATGGTGCCGATGCTGAGGCAAAAAACAAGGTATAGAGCACTGAATTTTCTTTCCAAAGTTTCTGAAATACTTTCCTGTTCACAGTGACATATTGGTTGGTCAGTTTTCCACATGTAGAAACTCAAGTGTTTCATGAATACACTGTTTGAAATAACTTAATAGTTAATGTTTTCACTTTCAATGTTGATAGTTTTAATGAAATGCTAGAGGATGTGAGTTTCTTTTATGCACTTACAGTATTTGTGAACACACTGAATTTTAAAATGTAAAATTTTTGTTTCAAAAGGTTTCTTTCTTTCTTTTTTGCAGTAGTGTAAAACAGCACAAGATAGCAAAATTAACCTCAGAATTTGGTTTTATTTTAAAACTTAAACAGAGCAATAGTGTTTTTTTTATTTAAAAGAAACAACAGGAAAATGGTAGAAATAGCACATAATTTCAAAAATAATTAACAGTAAGAAATCACTAGTTGATAAATCACATACTGTTCTTTTAGATATAGTTCAAGTTACAAAAGTAAAGCATACAAAGTGGCTGGTCAAACAGCAATACTGCAAACTGTTCTTTTCAGCTCTCCAAGAAAAATTTACTAATAGGGTTATCAAATCTACTGTCACACATACGTGCAGTTGTAGCCTTTAGATCAGTTTTTTGTCCTCTCTTTTTCACAACAGCAATTACACATTTTGTGTTTGACTACTCCTACATTTCTTATTACATTTCACACTAGAGACACACTGTGATATTTATAAATATGATTATTTATTTATTTCATTAGTGAGAAGAGCCTCAAATTGTCTCCATTTGCCTATGAAAGCCTCAACAGCAACCTTTTTATAGCTGAGTAATATTCTATTGTATAAAAATATCACATCTTTTTCATCCACTCTGCAGTTCATGGGCATCTTGGTTTTTTTCAAGTTTTAGCTATTACAAATTGTGCTGCTATGAACATGGCTGCACATATCTCACAGGTATATGACATTTTCCGTTTTTCTAGGAAAATACCAATGAGGGAACTCACTGGACCGAATGGAACTTCCAATCCTAGTCTTCTGCAAATTTTCCATACCGATTTCCATAGTGCCTGTGTCAGTCTATACTGCCAGCAATCGTGGAGCACTGTTCCTTTTTCCCCCGACAGCCTTGCCAGCATTTGTTATCAGTTGATTTCTTGATTGCAGCTATTCTTTTCAGAGTGAGAATCTCGATGATGTTTAAATTTGCATTTCTCGAATGACCAATGATGGTGAACATTTCTTCCACCATCATTGTAATTATTTGCCATTTGTATATCTTCATCTGAGAAATGTGTGTTCATCTCAGATGTTCATTTTTGGAGAGGGTCTCTGAATTTGGGCTTGATGTTTTTCAATACTTTACATGTTCTTGATATAAGTCCTTTGTCTGAGGAGTTGTTGGCTAAAATTGTTTCCCATTCTGTGGGTTTTCTTTTCACTCTGTTAGTGATTTCTCTTGAAGTGCAGAAACTTTTGAATAATATGAGATCCCAGGTGTTGATTCTTTGAAGTGTTTCCCATGCAGTTTACATTTTCTTCATGAAATCTCTACCTACCTCTGTCTCCAAGTCTTCTGCCTACCTGGTCTTCCAGTAGATTTAAGGTTTCTGTATTAATGTTTAGGTCTTTGGTTCATTTAGACTTTAGTTTTGTGCTTGGTGATAGGCATGGGTCTATTTTCAGTCTTCAACATGCAGAGAGCCAGTTTTTCCAGCCCCATTTATTAAAGAGTGAACATGGTTAGCCCCATTGTCAAATATCAGGTGGTTGATTGTTTTTGTAGTTGTGCTTGCATCTTCTAATCTGTTCCATTGTTCCCCAGGTGTATTTCTTTGCCAATACCCTGCTCATTTTATCATTGTGCCTTTGTAATAGAGTTTCAGGTCAGGAATTGAGATGCCTCCTCCCTTACCTTGGTTTCTCAGAATTGCCTTTGCTATTCTAGGTTTCTTCTGTTTCCAAATGAATTTCAGGAGTGTCTTCTCTAGCTCTGTGAGGCACGTTAATGGTATTCTGATTGCAATTGCATGAAATCTGTAGAACAGTTTTGGGAGTATGGCCATTTTCACAATATTGAGTCTTCCTAGCCAAGAACAAGGAATACTCTTCCATTTTGTAATATCCTCTTCAATCTCCCTCTGTAGTGTAGCATAATTTTCAGCAAATAGGTCTTTTACATTCTTAGTTAGGTTGGTTCCTAAGTATTTCATTATTTTAGATGCTATTGTGAAAGGTGATATTTCCATAAATTCTCTCTCAGTGAGTTGTTTGGTTGAGTACAGGAATGCTATTTGTTTTTGAGTTTTGACTTTGGATGCAGTTACACTACTCAATTTTTTTATTATTTCTAACAGTCTTCTAATGGAAATTTTTGGGTCTTCTACATAGAGTATCATGTCACTTGTAAATAGTGATAATTTAACTTCTTCCTTTCCTATATTTATTCATTTTATTTCTCTCTCTTGTCTGATTACCCTGGCTGGTGTTTCCAGAACGTATTTGAATAGAAATGGTGAAAGTGGACATCCTTGTCTTGTTTCTGATTTTAAAGTAAAAGCTTTCAGCTTTTGTCCATTTAGTATAATGTTGGCTATTGATTTGTCATAGATTGGCTTCATAAGATTGAGGTAGACACCATGTGTTCTGAGTATCTGAAAGGTTTTTATCATGAACATGTGTTGGGCTTTATCAAAAGCTTTTTGTGCATCTGTGAAGACGACCATGCGGTTTTTGTTTTTGGCTCTGTTGATGGGTTGTATTACATTTATTGATTTGAATATGTTAAAGTATTCCTGCCTTCCTGGAGTGAATCCAACTTGGTCATGATGTATAATCTCTTGATTCTTTGCTGCATTCTATTCTTGTCAGTATTTTATTGGGAATCTTTGCATGAATGTTGATTAGTGAGATTGGCCTATAGTTCTCCTTTTTGGTTGGGTCTTTCTCTGGTTTTGGTATGAGAGTTATACTTGCCTCCAGGAATGATTTAGGGAGGATTGTTTCCTTTTCATTTTCATTGAAGTGTTTAAGCAGTTTAAGGAGAAGTTCTCTAAATTTTTTGTAGAATTTAGCCATGAATCCACAGGATGTGGGCTTTTCTTTGTTGGTAAGTTTTTAATTATAATTTTAATTGCAATAGTTGATACTGGATTATTTAAATTTGCTGTATCTTCTTGGTTGAGCTTTGATAGTTCATATGGTTCTGGAAATCTGTCCATTTCCTCTGTATTTCCCACGCTATGTGAGTAGAGATTTTCAAAGTAGGTATTCATGATGTTTTGAATTTGCATGGGATCTGTAGTAATTTCCTCCTTTTTGGTCTTTATTGCCTGAATTGAGGCTTTTTCTTTCTTTTTCTTAATAAGGTTAGCTAGAAGCTTGTCAATTTTGTTTAGTCTCTCAAAAAACCAGTTTTTTGTTCCATTAATTCTTTGTACTGTTTTTTAAATTTCCATTGCATTGATTTCTGCTCTAATCTTTACAGTTTCCTCTCTTGTATGAGCTTTGTGTTTAACTTACTCTTCTTTTTCTAGAAGCCTGTGATGAAGCATTAGGTTGTTTATTTGTTGTCGTTCTTTTTTTTTTGATATAAGAATTTATTGATATATATTTCCTTCTTAAGTCTGCTTTCATTGCATCACATAGATTACAGTATGTTGTGTCTGCATTTCATTGATTTGTAGCTATTGCTTTATTTCTTCTTTATCTGTGGCCCACTGGTTCTTCAAAGGGTTGTGATTTAATTTCCATGTAATTATACAGGTTTCACAATTATTCTGCCATTGATTTCTAATTTCAGTGTGGTCAGATGTGTTTCTTGTATACAGCATACTGTGGGATCATGTTTCTTGATCCATTCTTTCAACCTATTTCTTTTGATATGTGAATTGAGACCGTTTACATTTATGCATATCAGTGGTATGTACTGGCTTGACTTTGCCATGTTGTGTTCCAGTTCTTTGATTTCTGCTTGTCCTACCAGGTGGTTTTTTTTCTGTTGTAGAACAACAGTATTTTAGAATAAGTGGAAATGTTGTTGCTGTTGACAGTTCATAAAAGTGATCCATTTTTGGTGACTTGACTTAAATGGGAAAAATGACAAGGAAAAATGATTAGAAATAATGCAAGCCAATAGTGTTTGGTTGTTGATTAGTTGCTACTGAAGGAATATAGTTTCTGGTTCATGTGCATAGATAAGATGCTCTTCAATTTTAGGAATAAAATTTGTTTTTTTCTACTTATTACTGGAAATTGAACACAGACCCTTCACACAGAGCTGTGTCTCCTGTTCAACTGTGCTATGTTTTATTTTTGGTAGGATATGAAGTTGTCTTATTTGAGATTGAACATGCGATGTGCCATATTCCCATAGTGCAGTGATTACTGGCTGTACCTAGCTTGAGAATAAAAACTCTTTATTCTGTTTTTTTTTATTTTTCTTTTTACATGCTTTTTTCAATAGTGGCACTCAAACTCTGAATCTTGCACTTACCAGCCAGGCAATGTGTGATGCTGAGCTACATTTCCATCCTCTTAAAAATTCTTAGTAGAAAAGAAAACCATATAATTGTTTTTTTAAAATTTTATTTAAAAGGAAAAAGAGAAAAACCAAAACAAAACAAAGCAGTGTAAGAGTACAAGTAATACAGAACTACAAAAAAAAAAAAAAACACTAAGAAATCACCAGTTAATAGATTACACATTATCATCCTAGAGATAGTTGCTCAAGTCTGAGTATCAAAGCATACAAAGTGAACGTTCAAACAGAGAGACTGCAAACAGTTGTGTTCAATGATCCAACCAAAAACATTAATATGGTCAGCTATTTAACACCCCTAAACACACTTGCAGTCATATCCTGTAGAGCACTTTTTTTCCCTCTCTTTTTTACAACAAAATTATATATTTTGGGTTTTATTACTCCTTAGTTCTTATTACTGTATTTTTGGGAAGAGAATAAAGTCAAATATGGGAAAACAAAGCTGTCAGTCAAAACCAAGGATAGACACAGTACATGATGTGATAACAGAGTACAAGGTTATCAAAAATGATTACCATAATGCCTCTTGCTTCCTTAAAAAGAATTGTCTATCTCATTTGGTATTATAAAGTTGAACAAAACAGTAGAGAACAAGACCAATAAAACCTAAACATTGTAAACATTACAGCACTTCCAAAGGAGATAATAGTCAAACCAGAATGGGCATCTTAGTGAATCTTACTGCCTTCAAAATAGTTGCCTATACTCTTGATACTATCATACGGAACGGAACAGAGTCTAATCAGTCAAAACAAGATAGTGGGAGTATTACAGGACTTCAAAACAAGTTAATAGGAAATCAAAAAAAGTTACTATAATATATCCTGCTAATTTTTAAAATTTTTCCCCTTAATTAAAAAAACC